TACACAAAAAACACAAAGTTAACATCTTAAGTATACCTCCAAATTTGAAGTTAAACAAAAAAAGAGAGAGAGAGAGAAAGCTACCAACTCCTCCATTGTAATGTTTCAAAACTTTCAAAAGTTTAATTTTTCACTGTCCGGGTCTGTTTTTTTACTGACCCGAAATATTTTTAACCCCGACCCGAACAAATGTCACCACCTTCAACCACATTTGTCTCTTTTCATCCACTTGTCCTCATCTACAGTCCCTTACTGTTATTGCTCGGGACAATCTCAAACTCGCCTCCATCTTCTTCCTCGTCTTGTTCTTCATCATCTTCATTACCGTCGGCGTCGCCTTCGTCATGATGATGATCTGGGTTCCGACCAAAGTTCTTGCCTTGATCCTTATCTTCCACCTGTCTCTGTGGCGGCGGAGCAGGAGGCCATTGCTGCTCCGGCTGAACCATCAACGGGACGGCGTTTTCCGGCATCATATGACCGGTGGATGTCGACGTGGACGACGTTGAGGCCACGTTCTTCTCTCGGTACAATGCGTCGAGCTGGTGAAAGTAAGGGCAAGTCTTGGAATCTTCAGGGCGTTTCTTGTTGCTCTCCTTCACTTTCTTGAAGTACTTGTTGATGTTCTCCCACTTCTCCTTGCATCTCTTCGAGCTCCGGTTGAAACCTAGCCTTCTCATACCAGCCGAGATTTCTTCCCACAGTGGACCCTTTGGCCCGTTTTCTTGGTACTTCGAATCAAGATTCGTCCTCAGCTTTATCAGTGCCTCGATCTCCACCTTCGGCCACCTCGACGAGCTCGGACCCACCAAATTCCGTTCCCCATTGTCCGTTTTCGTCACCACCGGTGGCTGAGGCTGTGGCTGTTGCTGTGGCGGCGGCTGCTGCTGCTGCTGTGGAGTCTGCGTTTGCGGCGAAGGAAACTGTTTGGACTGAGATAAGTTAGGGTTTTCTGACAGTTTCTGGAGGAATGCCATAACGGCGGCGTCCTTGGCTGCGGCCATGGATCGTTCTTGAGCAAGTATCTCTCTTTCGCGGTTGATTCTGGCCATCTCCTGCATTGTCCAAGCTTCTTCTCTTACCATTCTCTCGTGCTCTCGCTTCTCCACTGCCTCCAAGAACCGACATTGAAGCTCCTCTTGCTTCTCCACCACTTGCTTCATCAAACCCTCAAAGAACTCCTTCCATTTCCTCTTCCTCTTCTTCCTCGTACCTCCACCGATCTCCACGTCAGAAGACGTGGACGATGATGACGACGGTGACGACGTCCAATCCGACAGAAAATCGCCGGAAATGCTCGGAAACGTCGACGCTGAAACAGGCTGAGTCAACGGAGGGGTGATGTTCGGTGTCGGCATTGTCGATGTAACAGTCGTCACCGCTATGCCTGGAGGAGTATTGTCGGCGTTTGCGGTCGGTTGTGACTGCGTTTCCGAGAATAACAACGAGTGGTTGATGTGATTATGGGGCCGCGGCGGCATCTGCGTTTGCGTTTCCTGTTGGTGGAGGTGGTGCGATTGACTCTCGAGGGCTTGTAACTGATCGAAGAAGCGATAAGTTTTGCCTTCGGATTTTCCATTACGACCTTCTTTGGTACGTTTGTGGTATTTGTATACATTCTCGAACTTTTCTTTGCATTTCTTGGCGCTTCTGTTGTATCCAAGTTCCGCCATTTTCCTGAGAAACAAACAGAAAATTTTGGAAACCCGTGGTCTATGTAGAAAACTTCAGAGTCTGTATAACTCATCCATGGAATTTACATGAAAATTTATATAATTTATTAATTAGTGAATCAAATCAGCATGACTTCACGTAGGCATACATGATTATTACATGATCCAACTTATTTGATTAATTTATTCGATAAATTTGAAATAAAAATTTAAGTGAAAACCCATTTCACGAACTGCCCCAAATCTGAATTCCATTGCGCCACAGAGTTTCCCAATCGAAAACCCAGAAAAAGAAGAAGAAGAAGAAACAAATCAAAATCAGAAATCGAAGTCTGCTGAAAAGAAGCAATTCATAATCAGATCTCTAACTCCATGAGCAGAAATTTTTGCTGGAACTCAATGGATCAATCACCAAAATTTCCCATGATCTATAGAAAAATTATTTAAATAAGAAAATTACCCCGATAGGGGGGGGGGGAAGAAATTAACGAGGAGGAAACGCACCTGGAAACCTCACCCCATAAGGGGCCTTTAACGCTAGCGTCTCGGAACGCGATATCCATGTCAGATCGTATTTTCAGTAACGCTAGCGTTTCCTGACGCGGCCACCGATTCCCTCCGAAACCGCGGTCGCTCATCTCCTCCGACCCCTCCAAATTAGGCCCCGCCGCCGCATCGTTCGTCTGTGGCGTCGCTGCTGTGACGGCGGGCGGGGG